CTCTTATGTGGATGTGGATTATGGATGAAAGTGGAACACTGTAGCAAGCGGGCATCCCATTGGGTTTGTATTTTGTTATGATCAGCAGCAAAAGGTATCCATCAATAGAAGATTCAGTTCTTCTCCCTCGACTCTGGCTCTAGGGATCGGATCAAAGACTGTGGTATTTATAAATTTTTAAAAAGCAATGTAGAGAATCCTTCAGAGATGGCTGATACATTTTTCTATTTGATGGTGAAGGATAAGGTACTGCTGACTGGCCTTCCTTGAAACTGACTTCTTTCTTCAGTAGGGAGTTGTTTTGTACCATCTAATCTGTGACTTTTTGAAGAAAAGTACCAAGCGCACGGTTGGCTTATAGCATTCAACAAGCCAATGGGGAAAACGTTAACTAAGCCTTTCCTATTTTCTTTCCCCCTTTTTACATTTTTAAACTTTTTCTACATTAAAAGTAAAGGTTTCCCCACACATGCGTGCTAGTCGTTTCCGGTTCTAGGGGCAGTGCTCATCTCCATTTCTAAGCCAAAGAGCCAGCACTGTCCAAAGACTTCTCATGGTCATGTGGCCAGCATGACTCAATGCCAAAGTGCTATTACCATCCACCAAAGTGGTCCCTATTTTTCTACTTTCATTTTTACGTGCTTTCAAACTGCTAGGTTGGCAGAAGGTGGGACAAGTAATGGGAGCTCACTCCATTACGTGGCACTAGGGATTCAAACCGCTAAACTGCTGACCTTCTGATCGACAAGCTCAGTGTCTTAGCCACTGAGCCACCACAGCCCATTTTTACATTAGCGCCATTCTAATGCATGTACAAGGATGCCAGAACTGGGACCCACCAGCCTAAGTTTGCATCTAACATTTCTTTTTAGGCCATATAATTTCTAACCACGTAGTCATTGTTGAATTCTGCAATAAGCTTAATACTGTAGAAGGACACACTGGGATGGAAAGAACAGTTTGTGATGTCATCAAGGCAATAATCCAATGAGATTTGAACAATTAAAAAGAAGATGCAAATTTCTTTGGCTCACATCAAAACGTGGTGCTTTGGTCATGAGGTGCAACAGAGATCTTTTGATACTATCAACCATGGTGAGCAGCTTCCATCTGTTATCAGGAAATCAAATTAACTTGATGACCCCTAGTATAGGGAGTGCCAAAGGAGTCAGTTCTCATTCTCTCCTATTTATCAGGTATAAGAAACCACTGAGGGGGATCATCAGTGTGTGGTACAGTATCATCAATGATACATTACTAACTTGGGCTGTATGGGAGAGGATGTTGTTGTTATTTCCCAGTGCCTGGAAGTTATCAAGAGTTTGGTTGAGAGAGAGAGAGAGACTGAAATTAACCCCCATAGGTGTTGCTCCATCTGGTCTCTCTGTTACTGCCAGGGTTGCTTCTTGACAGCCAGCAATACCTGCGAAGGAGCAGGTTCATGATTTGGGGGTCCTTCTGGACTCATGCTCAGTAGGTAGGAACCGTAGTCACAGAGACCTGTGTCTAATTGCAGCTGCTGAGCCAATTGTGGCTCTACCTCGGGTAAGAGGACCTGGCTACAGTACTTCATTTCTCATTACTACCTGGCTTAAGTACTGCAATATGCTTTACATGAAGCCGCATTTAAAAGGCTATTCAGAAACAACAACTGATCTAGAACAGAAGAGCTCATGTGCATTCTGGCTCTCATCACTGGGAGAATGCAATGCCAATTTTGTAAGTGTTACACTGGCTACTGATTTGGTTCTGGGTAGATTTGAAGGTGTTGCTTTCACCTATAAAGTCTTTTACGCTTTGGCACCTGGATGCCTATAGGACCATCCATTCCATTTATACAGTACAGCCTTTATTGTCATTGTACCTCATGTATACAACGAAATTGGTTTTAGCTTCACTGGTGCAACCCATGACAATAAATACAAACAACATAAATAGTATAAAGAATAATCCCTATGCAAGTAATTGGGAGGGGAGAAAAAGAAAGAAAAACTAGTCATACATTTCCACGTGTGTGTGGAGTGATTGTGATTGTGTTTAAGAGTCTGATAGCTCAAGGATAGAAACTATTTTTAAACCTATTTGTTCGGCTGGCTATGCTTTGATGTCTTCTGCCTGATGGTAGAATTGCGAAGAGACATTCCAGCCAGTATCAACCCAATCCAGAATAGCTAGTGACAAATTCTTTGCAATCATACATATTCTGAGAGGCTCGGGGCACTGAAGTTAAAAACTACTGCTTTTCTATGGTGGTTGCTGGTATTTTAGAATAACTGCCTGACAGAGATCCTCCAGAGAGCACCTCTTTCTTGAAAGTTTTCAGTAAACTGATGAAATGTGAATTGTTTCAGAAGGCCTTGTGTTTCTCCAGTGAGATAGGCTGTCACAGAATAATAATCCATTGCATCAGTTGTAGCTTGGCCAGAGGACTCTCATGTTGGCAGGTTCTCTTTGAGACTAGGCCACAAGACATGATCAGTAAGCACACAAGGTTGTGAGGCTTTTGAAGTCACTTCAGGTGTACTGTTCAGTTGCAAATGGGAAGGGTGAAATCTCTCTCTGCCTCATTGTAGAGATCCAGGAATGAATATTCAGAATCTGGATGAGTAATGTAGGCAGCAGGGAATAGTACTCGAAAAGACTCAGGCCGGCCTCTCCATTATTCACTGGGATATAAGAAGGTGCAGGGGAAAAGCATAATCAGACTTTCAAGATTTGGTTATTGCAGCTTGTCTCAATAACGTATGGTTCTAGTTTTCCTGTAGAACTAGTTTCCTGATCTGGATTTACCTCATAGCAGGGGTGGCTTTCACTTACTTTCCCTACCAGTTCGCAAGTGTGTGTGTGTGTGTGTGTGTGTGTGTGTGTGTGTGTGTGTGATCTGGATTTACCTCATAGCAGGGGTGGCTTTCACTTACCTTCCCTACCAGTTCGCAAATGTGTGTGTGTGTGTCTGTGTGCATGTGCGCTTTGCTCGCACGCTCCCAGTCCACGCATGCATCTGGCTGTCTGCGCATGTGCTTTGCTCAAAAACGTCCCTAAATAGGACGAAATAGAGCCAGGGTGGGTGGGCAGGCCCATCCACGATTTCTGCTACCGGTTTGTGCGAACCAGTCCAAACTGGTAGAATACCACTTCAGCCTCATAGAGCTGGCACACGTTTTGATAGAGGAATAGCATCAATAAATGTGCACTCCTCTAACCCCCAACCCAGCTGTAAAAACTTCTATTGACTTAGATAAAGAAGTGAAGGTTGCAAATTAATATACAGTACCCAATTTTATCTTACTCAAATCATCCAAATGAGACACACCTTGCTTCTGGGTCTCCATGCCAGATTGAGAGCCGAACTGAGTCAAGTGTTTTAATGAAGCTGTGTTTGAATTAACCGATAATAAGGGTAGTTTTAGCTCTTCCAATTCTCTGAAACTTTTGATTTATTCATCATTTGGCAATCATTTAAATAAGCCTTTTAACTAGTTTTCTTTGTAAGCAGTGTCAATCAGAGATTCTAATAAGGGATCACAAGTGCAATCTTTATTATCACTACTCAATATTTTGAGATCATACGCAGCACTGAGAGAAGAATTGGTTACCTCATTACAGGAAAAGGGTTTGGCTTTGGGCCTGTAATTCAATTTAGCTATCAGTGACCTAAGCTCGGAAACATTTTTTTTTTAAAGAAGCTTTTGGTAGTAAAGTTGAAAAGCACTAAGGAGATGGTTGGTTAAACTTTAATAAAATTCTGCCTGTCTATCTTGCAAGCCACAGATGCAGAGATGGCTCTCACTCTTGCCCTAGTCCTTTTTTGTACAATATATCAATACAGAGTTTTGAATTAGATTTTGAAGCAACAAATAGGACAACAAAACTCAAATTTTCTAGCTATCATATAATTTCAATGAGAGAAATCAATGAAATAAGACCTGTTAACAATTCTCCAAAAGCAAGAACAAATAAATATTAAAAAATGCAAGCACTCATAATCTAACCCAAGGAATTATAATTTTACCACTGAATTGTTTTGTTTTTCCTCCCAGAATATTAACATAGAAATAAAAATTGATTAGGCATCATGTTTGATATTAAAATAGATTTCTGAGGAAATTCATATTCTAATCAGTGGCTTTTGTTTTTAATTTTAATTTTAATTGGATATTATGGTCATGCATAATGAATTAATAGGGCAATGTTCCAGTCAAATTCTCCTGTATTTTTTTCCTAAACCCATAGAAAGTTTTGCAACCACTTACATATGAACTTTTTGCCATGTAAGAAGCATGCATATATTGTGGTACTAGGATGTGTTTGCCTAACTCTGACTTAAGAGCCTATGATCCAAGTCTCATGATTTACCATTCAAACCATATGAGTGTGTCTCATTGATTCCCACACTCCCAACTGGAAGTAATAGAACATCAATAAACAATATTTAAACTGATATAGCAAAAAAGGTAATGTGAACTGTCTTATTTTTATTTCTTTGGCTAATGTCTGGAATCTATTCATTTTATGAATTCCTTCATTTTACTCATGCATAACTTGCATTCATTTTCAGTTGCATCCACTCAAATCAATATTTTTACTTCTATGAAACTTCAGAGATCTTTAATTATCAACCGTGGATATCCCTATCCTTCATGACTTATAGGCAGTCTTTGGAATGTAAACCATTTTTAAAATTTCTTTGTCCATATCATTTGCTCTATAATCAGAGTAGCTTTCCTCCTTTGTTTAATGTAAAGTTGCACAATAACTTGCTACAATAAATATCCATTGCTAAAAAAATTTGCCTAGGAGAATCAAGGTATTGGGACTATAGCTACAATGGATAATTTGCATGAAAACCATTCTGCTATGTTGTTTCTCAGTGTCAAATTGTTCCCTATTCCAATCTTGGCTTGTGAGACAGTCTCCCGCCATTCTGCTTCTACTTTCTTCATTCTGTAATTGATTTTGCTCAGCCATATTATTTCCCTTCTTTTCTCACGTTGCTCCAGGGTGCTCTGCCATTCGATGATGATAACTTGAGGCAGCTGTTGGAGAAAGTGAAACGTGGCGTGTTCCATATGCCACATTTCATCCCCCCAGATTGTCAGAATCTCTTACGAGGGATGATTGAAGTGGATGCCTCGAAACGGTTGACAGTAAGGAAACAAGTCATTACTATCTCATGCTTTTTGCTTTCAAAGCCATCCAGTAACTCAACAAGCCTTCTGAAACGGGATCCTTGCAGTTATTTTGGATTATAACTCTCAAGGTCTCCAATGATCAGGGAAGATGGAAATTGTACATCAGAACATCTAGAAGGACACAAACTCGTATGTATGTATGTATGTATGTATGTATGTATGTATGTATGTATGTATTATTTATATACACATACATATAATTTAATGCCAATGTTCTGCAGTAACATAAATGTTAATGCTGACTCAGAATTTCAGCACCTTCAGATAAATGTGTTTTCATTTTAGGTTGTTTAAATCAGATTTTTAAAAGAATACAAGTTTTTACTTCTTATGGACATGGAAACAAGACTTGGAATGTGTATATAATCCTAGTTTAAATTCTAGGAGCCAGAAATACCTCATAAAATTATCAGTGTGGAGTAGAATTGATTCATACCCTGCATCTTTGTAGTTTGAGGGTGCTGCCTTGAAAAACCTCAGTTGCAAAAACTCAATTCCTAGGTTATGGAAGAGTATAATTACAATATTTAGCTCCTGCATACACCCGGGTGAACATCTAGAATCCTTATATTGCAGCATTGTCTAACAGAGAGAATGTTGAAACATCTATTTTGCCAGTTAGACATCAATATTAAGGACTTGGACCTTGGATCTTGGAACAAATTTAGCATCCCCAAAAGATAGCCAGGACCCTTGGGAATATAGACTGTTAGTCTTTCAAATATGTCATTGGTGGGGCTTTCCTATTTCTTCCAATCTTATTAAGGGACTAGAAAAAGAAAAGGTTGTAATGTAGGAGGCATCTTGCAAGGTTAGAACCCAAGACCATGTTATTCCTCAAACAAGAAACAAAGGAAATAGTAATTCCCACTTAGAAGAAAGTAGCTTCAAGCCAATTGCATCATGTGGGGGGAAACAGAAAATTGATTTCATCGTATGTAGGATTTGCTGCTTTTGCTTCAAATTCTTTCATAAAGGCTTGATTTGCTTTTTTAAATTTTTAATTGGCTTTTCTACAGTAAGTCTTTTTTTATCAGAAGATGCGTCTTTTCAAATGCTTATCAGGCCTTGCTTCCATGCTAGCATTACTGACCTCAAATGGAGAATTCACTTCATAATCAAAATACCATAGCAGAAAATAGCTGTAGCTCTAGATTGAATTCTGGTGTTCTTGATGTTTTCTAAAGTTACTTCTCTTCCTGCAGACATTTCTTACCAATCTAGGTAACTTCATCATATGATGTTACCTAGCTTGCTAATAAAACATCTTCAGGAAGTGAAGCTGGAACCCAACAATCAGAGCCCCAGAAGACTTTTACAAGTCCTCCCCCATGTTTAAAATTAAATTATATTTAATTAAAATTCATTCATTTTAATTCTGTATCTCTAGAATAACTTTCTTACTCTATGCAAAGCCATTTTTAATCCAATAAAGTTTTGTTGCTATCATTTCTTCCTCTTCTGTGAAATTAGGCCAGGGTAGATTTGCAATGTTTTTTTTTATTGACATTCTGCTAATGTGGTGAGTATACATTGAAAAATGCCAAGGTACTAAAATATATTTAATCAAGAACATTATTTGCAAAAAGTTGTTTAATTCATAGAATCTGTTCATGTGTGGGAATAGGAAAGAAAACTGTGTGAAATTAAACTCTTCCCATATCTTCACTTTGAGGAGATGTTTATAAATAACAATTTGGATCAGGTCTCATTCTTAAATAGAATAGTAACTTAAAGAACTCTTTATTCCTCAATTGCACAGCTGGCACAGAAAAAAAAGCAGATTCTTAGACACTGCATATAATTGCCTATCTTTTAGTTGCTTTCATTATCACAACAGGTTGCATGCAATAGATGAATGACATATGCTAGATTGATCATCTTTACTTGAAGCTTCTGCATTACTTGTCTTTTAATTTCCATTAAAATAGAGGTACTGAATATAAGTGCTTGGATTCAAATAGCAGTATGGAAACTGCTCTTTGTACTAATTTTCTGGAAGTCACAGTCATCAATGTAGTGCAGATAATCATTGCCCTGTCTTTTTAATTTGATTCTGGAACATTAAAAAGATTTCCTGAACAGATCGCAATTCAACTAAAAATGAACATTTGCATTGGGCCATCTATAAAGAGAGCCTTAAAATAGACTCTGAGCCCAAACAAGACCATTATCTACATAACATGGTGGGTGCTCTCAAAATCAAAAGCTATGAAATAAGTGGCAAAAGTTAGAGAAAGAGAAGTAGGCTTTATATATAGGACTAATCTACAACTATGACTAGATTCCTAGATTCTGTACTAGAAGATTTTCTTTCTTTATAGGAGAAACTTTTGCATATGCAATAAAAGCAAGTATCCAAAACTTGACCTCATCATCAGAGATTAAGCTTGGGCATGCTAATAAATAGTTCTGAAATACAATGAGGTACTCATGAGCTATTATTGGCATGTCCAAGTTAAATTTCTGAAGATGCCCAGCTATAACCTATGTTCAAAATGAAACTTTGTTTTCATTTTTATTTTCGTGTCAGCTGTAGATTGATCTGATATATAACAACTGAAATAGTCTTCGTGCTCAGGGTTAAAACCTACTGTTTGTGATGCCAATTACATTATAATGGATTTTGAGCAATTGTATCTCATAAGTAGTTATTTCTTCTTAAAATAGGATCCAGCTGGTCAGAAGCCATTAATACTTAAATCCCCATCATAAGGAAGTGATCATTTCAATGACCGAGGTTGGCATCCAACATTTTTATTTAGAAACGTACATGTATTATTTTTAGTTCTGTGGCTTGCTGATGTCAGTTTTGCAGTTTGTAATTTGTACTCATTTAGGCCTTTTCTTTCTGGTACATGATGGAAACATTGAAAATATACAGTTTACAAATCCACAATATGGAGATAGGGACAGCTGTTCAAGTAAAAGCATAAGCGCATTATCACATACAAAAAGTCCTTCCAGAATAAAATCTAAAATCTATTCAGCATCAGTGAAAAAGAGAATTCCAAAAACTGAACATAACTACTAAGAACATTCAAGATTGCAAAGTTATTTACTTACTTACTAGATTTATAAGGTCACCCAATACAATACAACAATGTATTCCTTCAAAGCACAGTCTTACTCCCTTTCAAATTAATACTGATATTTTCACAGTAATTGTGTGAAAATGTCTGACCATGTTTTTCACATATACGGCAAACACTCTAAATTGGACTACTTGATACACAGAAAGAAAACTTTTAGCACTCCCAATAAAAATGGCAACCATTGTAATTCCACCCTCCCTTGAATTTTGCAGCAAAACCTTAAAATCAAAGCCTTTCTTGTCAAAATTGCCCTACTTTGACCCTTATTTGTCACTTTAAAATAAGTAAAAAGCAACAAAATGTTGATCCCTGAATCTTTTAAAACAAGAAGAGGAAGAAGCTGTAAAATATCTTGGCAGAAACAAACTGCAATGTGTGATGTCATAGTAAAGTTATATTTTAGACATAATAGGAATCCAAATAGAGGCTGGTTTTATATAATATATTTCAAATTCCTAATCAGAAAATCAGAAAATGCTTTCACAATGAAATAAAGATGCCATGAAAACATTTTAAGGGTATTTTTTTAAAAAACAATTCCCTGTGATATAAATATTTAACTTAAATAGTAATATAACTGATATGAGAACCTTTTATGGATGTCCTTACAAGTTTTCAAAAAAGGAAAAAAAGCATAATGTATCAGAACATTAACAGAGGATCTTTTGCAGATCCTACAAAACATTTATTAATTCTCTTTTTTATGACAGGACCCAAAAAGTGGACGAACTGACATGAAAGAGTAGTTTCTTGCCTTTTTCTTTATTTATATAATCTGTTTATCACATCAACCTTCACAGACTTTAGGCAGTTATAGGAGAGGGTTCAAAAACTACATTTTCAGGTAGGCCTTTTAGAGTATTATCATATCAGTTTTATGGATATCATAATTATATGATTTTATTATAGTAATAACATTGCCCAGTTATTGAAAATGGGTAACATATGCAGTAAATAAAATAGTTTTTGCTCTAATCATGATTTAGCCACTGCTTTTGGATTTGGAACATACTGTAAATCTTTCTGAGTTGGAAACCGTCACTTCTACCACCTGGACAAATATTCAAATGTGGTCCACGAAGAATCTAGAAATAAGAAATATAAAGAATCTTGGGCCTGGTCCTGTTTTTATATTTATTAACTGCATTTGCATTTGAAGTAATTAATCATTAATTCTCTTCATTACAAGCACACAAATGTGGCAACAGGTGGAACAATCTATATGTGGCACCCGGTGGTAATTTACCTGCCAAGAATACCAAAATAAGTTTATTTAGCGACTCAATTTATGGGTTAATCCCCACATCCAAAAATATTAACTAGAAAGTTGCAGATTCTTCAAATTAGTAGAACTGGATCAATCAGCTTTTAGCTGAGAACAATCCATGAATTTTATATAAGCTGCTTTGACTTCAGGGGAGAAAGAAACAGGATACAACTGTATTATATGCAAACAGAAGAAAACCTTTTTCTCAGAATGTATGAACTGATAATATGTTAGATTAACAATGTGATTCCTTTGGCTCTTCAGATATTACTGAATCATGTCAGCCTTTCCAGATAGGCCAAATAAGGAATGCAGCCAGATGAGATAATTTTACTTTATTATAAAGCTACATTAATAGAATCTTGCAAATCTGAAAGTACAATTCTCCTGATGTTTCCTTTTAGCCCAAAAACTTTGTGTCTCTTGCCCTACCAATTCACCAGCTGTGAGCTATGTTGTCTCTAATCTGACTGTTCCCCAGACTGTGTCTCTTCATCCCTTTTCCCATGGTGTTTTTCATATACCATTACACTCAGTAGTGGGATTCAGCCAGTTTGCACCTATTCAGGAGAACCGGTTGTTAACTTTCTAAGCAGTCTGGAGAACCGGTTGTTGGAAGAAATCTCCTTTTGTTTTCTTCCACTTTACAGGGCTAATCCTGTAAGGAAAGCAGGAAGGAAACTCTGGTGTTGTTTCCAGCCTATTGCCCTAGTTACAGAAACTGCCTCTCTGGATAACCCTTATTACATTGTCACAGCTAAGGCAAAGCGTCCATCGACCTGAGTGATGTTGAGTTGGCTATGCCCACCCAGTCACATGACCACTGAGCCCCACCTACTCAGCTGGTCATTAGGGCAGAGAACCGGTTGTTAAATTATTTGAATCCCACCACTGATTACACTGTACGACTTCCAGCAGTCCCAACCAGGATGGGCGACTCTAATTCCAAAAGATCTGAATGCCCACAGTTTTCTCATCCCTGTAACAGATACTGGTTTTCCAAAATTGTAAGGAAACAGGAAAGTCATGCAACCTTCAAAACTAAGCTGTCTCAGCTATCCAATTAACCTTGAGAGGAGTAAATTTTATCCCAACAGGGTCACAAATGTTTGGAGTTAAACCAAATGAATAAATTTACTAAAAAATTTAAGCAAATTAAATGTCGCTCTATATCATCCAAATAATTTATCTAAGGATGAACTGTCCCTTCTAGTATTTGTTATCAACATATAATCCTAGAGATGTCTCAACAAAATTGAACTCTTTTAGGTTCTTCATAGATAGATCAGTTTTCACATCTCACTTTGGAGTTACACTAAAAATATGACCCAAAAGTTCCCAAGACATGCCTTCTTATGTGTAGCTGCCATCCAGAGTTGAAATAATTGACCGAGGAATAAGATGTTTCAATCAATCAAGTTGTGCAAACTCAGACAAAAATTGATCTGTCCTATTTATCATTTTTCATAATTAGGGCATACCCAACTATCAAGTTGCCCATTGCAAGTCAAAGGCGCCAATTGTTTCTGGAGGAAAAGAAGGGACAGCATAGTCCTCTACTTGTCCCCAATCCATACTCTGTATTTTCCTTTTCCAAACTGAAAGCAATATTTTCCAGTTTGTACTGGTTCAAGCTTTGCCACCTACTTCGTTTGCTGTGCTTCTTGTCTTCTAAGCAAACCCATAGATTTTGACTATTATCAATCTCCTTCACCAGAGTTTCCCATCTTTTACTCAGTAAGATCTACTGTAGCTTCTGTTACAAGTATTTTACACTATCATATTGATCATAAAGCTTTCTGTGCAAAACGCCCCAATTCAGAACTTCACAATATACCCTGTTTTCCTGAAAATAAGATCTCCCTGGATAATAAGCCCAATCATGCTTTTGAGCGCATGTGCTAAAATAAACCCTTCCCCAAAATAAGCCCTCCCTGAAAATATTGCAACACAGAAGCAGTCATTAGGTGCACTCGGCACCTCCTGCACCTCAAAAATAATAAGATCTCCTGAAAATAAGACCAAGCGCTTATTTCAGGGGTCAAAAGAAAATAAGATCCTGTCTTATTTTCAGGGAAACACAGTAGGTACATGTATATGCTTGCTTGTGTATGTATATGTATGTATGTGTGTGTGTGTGTGTGTGTGTGTGTGTGTGTGTGTGTGTGTTTTGAATATAAAATTTTTCTTTCTCTGGATTACTTACTTTGTCATTTGGCTTTCAAAATATGATTGTTATTATTATTATTGTTGTTGTTGTTGTTGTTATTATTATTATTATTTCAAAGGTGTGCCATTGCATCATTTTTCAAACCATAAAAGATCATTTGGGCTATTTGGGAGTGGATAAGAAACCCTTACATCTCAAATACCTGGAAAAATGATAAAACAGAACATTGGTTGACATTTGAAAAAGAACTGTAAAATGAGTAGCTCAGGAAAAGAAAAATAGTCATTTAAAAAGTACAACTTGGCAGATTTAAAACCGGTAAAGTTCTGAACTACAGGGAAATGTTATAACTACTGTGCTACTAGGAAAGAACTGTAACATAAATGGCAAAAAAACATACTGAGCTAAAACTGGGAAAATACAAAAAAACAGTAAAGCTGATTGTTGTGTCTGAATACATCTGCATTTTAATAGTTTACCTTTGTATACCTAAATTAATGTTACATGTATAAAGTATATGCATATATGCACGTACTTTCAAAAGCATTTATATCCAGTAAAACTTAGACATAGAAAGAAAAGCAATTAGCAGTTGTTTTCCTGGCATGGAAAGTTGGAAAGGTACAACAGCAGGGAATTGCACAGTGAGGTCTGCAATAGCCAGCAGTCTGGACTGAACATCTGGCAACGTGTGCTATAGCATCCTAACCTGGCCAGAATTTTCTTAAAACAGGCTTAAATATTTAGGTTTACTTTTTCATTAAATATTTAAACTGGGATCAGCACAGCAAGCAGAGTCAGGTTTATAAATAATCACAAAAATCCTAAAAGTATTTTTAAAGGAGATCTCCAGACTTTCTCACCTACTTTTAACTTGATTGCTTTTGATATTTTTTTCTTTCATTCATTGAACATTAAAAAAAAAAGAATAGTTCAGGATTTTTCATAGTGATTATTATAGAGTACAGATTAAACCACTTGTTCTGTTGTACCTTTCTGAGCCCCCCCCGGTCACAGTCTCAAAGCAGTTTTCTTTTTCTTTTTCTATTCCCTCACATTTTCATGCAGATTATTTTGACTTGCCAATTCTCATTAGCTGGAAATGAGGTGGAAAATAATGAGAGCAAAACAGCTGCCATATTTCTTGCAGGCCAATTTAGTAGGTCTCTGATCTCATACACTCCGCTAATAGGATTTAAACATTGTTCCAATTGTCTGTCTACCCCTAAGTCATACGTACTATCGAGCCATCTGCACAATGCATTCTGACTCATACGATCTTAGAAACTGACACTGTCATATGGGACCAATTGACTATTCAGCAGAGAGTCTGTTTCCTTTATTAAAATTACAGCCATGTTGATTTTGTCTGATAAATCAGAACAAGTGCTATGTACAAACACACTTAAGAATAGTGGACAGTTTGTCTGCAGAACCGTAGGGTATGGACATCTTTGGAGAGTTCTCATGCACGCTTGGACTTTACTGATCTACCTAGCCAGAGAAAGCAGTAAAAAATAAGATTGGTTGAGTAAAGATGGGGGTTAAACTGCCTTCCCAAAAGGCAGCCAGATTTTTTCATCTTGTAATGTAGTAGTACTAATGGGAACTTCAATACTTTACTCTTAAAACAGATCCTGGAGAATTTAGGGGCATCTCAGCCCCATGTTCTCCAGATGATGTAGATCACGGGTGTCAAACTCGCAAGGTCATGTTGCCATCACGTGACTTTTTGTGATGTTTTTCCCATTCGTGGAACGGGGTTGGGTGTGGCTTGTGCATGATGCATTTGGCCCGCAGGCCACCAGTTTTACACCCCTGATTTACATTATCTATTCCTCTGTTAAGGGTGGGATGTTATTTTGGTCAGTTTGGTAAGTGATCAACACTGAGGAAACAGGTGGATTTTATTGCTTTGATTTCTTTCAAGCTTGTCTATGGTTTTCAGTATTAACCAGAGTGTCTCAGATCACCTGGCTGAGATGGAATTTTAAGGCTTGTTCTGTGGTCAATGGCAGGGGTGTCAAACACAATTTCATTGGGGGCAACATCAGGGCTGTGGTTGATGTCAGGTGGGGCTATTGGGTGGGTGGCCAGTTGGACCCCACTCTCTGGGCATGGCCAACTGAGTAGGCATGGCCAGCTTGATGCCACTTCCCAAACTACTGGCATACTTCCTCTTCGCACTGGGTAGACTGGGCCAAAGCCTTGATGGCCTGACATTTCCTCTTCATATCGGGCAGAAGATAATATCCCCTGGCAGCCTGAATAATTTGCAATAGATTTTATATATTTACAACTCCCAATTGCCTCATAATAGTAACGTCTCTCGCAAACTCCCCTGTTCTTTCAGTGGATTTCTAAGAGGAGAAAACTTTTTTTTAAAGGACAAAAGATTTGGATTTATTTGCTGAGCATATATTCAGAGATATCATGTTCCTTAATTTTTACCCTGCCCCAATTTGCCTAAGTCAGTGGTGAATCTCAGGAAATAGCAAAATATTATATCCCATTCTGAATGACATTGCTACATTCCTATCATAAGAATGTAAATATATTGGTAATTTTGTGCAGCAGAGATACAATTTTGTATTTTAAGAAAAATATTAAATAGAGTATTAATTAGCATTTGTTGTTATTTTGTTATAGTCATTCCATTTTTTCTGTTGACTTCTAGCTAGAACACATTCAGAAGCATATATGGTATATGTAAGTAACTTTTCATTAATATTTTAAAAATGATCTTAATTTCTTGTAATTATGCCTTGACTACAGAAGAGCTAGAGTTTCCTCTTTTTTCTAAAAATGAAGATCATCATTATTCCTTAACATTTAATAATAGTATTTCTGTTTTATTATGCATATTATTTTTAATAGTAGTGACATCATTCAGGGAATAAAACTCTTAATTTTCCTGAAAAGCTTGTGTTAGAACTAGTATTGCTCTAAGAGTAATACACCATTATTCCATCCTATAATAGAAATATCTTTCTGCAAACAATTTACATCAATATTTTGTAGGGTTCTATTAACATTAGATATGACAACCAATAGAAATTAATTAAAACAGCTTCATTGTCTTGGAAAGGTTCTTAATTTTAAAGAATGGAATAAACTATTTGATATACTGTTCATATTAAAATACTGATTCAATATATCTGATTTAAGCTTCTAAGAAATAAAATCAGTGGCAGCAAATTTATTATTACGTGATTATGCAGTATTTTGAATAGAGGCTTTGGAAGTAATTAACCAGTAACCATAACTGTGCATCAGAGATCTATAGATCAAAATTTCCTTAGGTGTTCAAAGAAGGTCACCATATCCTTATGGAGAATTTTAATTTCAAATCAGCCTCCATGTGAATTTGCAGTCAGTACTTGCTTTTGTCATTTTCTCTCTCTTGTGATCATCACAAAGAGGAGTTGTTGTGATTCTAATTAATAATCACAGGAGCTGTTTGGAAATTTTAAACTTCCAACTTTGAAATAGTTTTTGTGCTCTTGCTAACAGCATGAAAACTATTATTTCTTTTGTTCTTTTTATAATAATCCCCTAACACTGCAATGGCTAGAGGACCAAAATATGATAGTAATGGAAAATAATGCAAAGAATCTCTTCTGAATACCAATTGAGATTTTTAAAATATCTCTGAAAGGTGGGCGGGGGGGAAGACAAACAGCCTCTTCTCCTCCATTTGACTCTGCACTTCTGTTAATTGCAATAGCCAGGATATTTAATTTAATTATATATTAGAAATCAGTATTTAAAATCTAGAATTTGAATCTAAATCTCTCTTGGTTAGAGGCAAAATGCTTGAGGTCCCTTCTTTGGGAGAATATTTTTCTTTTATACACTAGCATAATTTTTTTTCTCATCTCTCTTTCTCTCTCCCTCCCCCCCTCTCTCTCCCTACCCCTTCTTTTTCCCTCCCTCTCTTTCTCTCCCCCCCTCTCTTCCCCTTCCTTTCATCTAAAGAGGGGGTAAGAATGAGCCAGAACCAGAACAACCAATTCCTCGAAAGGTCCAGATTCGCTCTCTCCCTTCCTTGGAAGACATCGATCCTGATGTTCTAGATAGCATGCACTCATTAGGTTGTTTCCGGGACAGAAACAAACTATTACAGGACTTGTTGTCAGAAGAGTAAGTACTCTATGTATCATTGGTGGAAGGTATAAGAAGCATCACATGTGTATTAAAGGAAATGAAACAATTTACGCAACAATTATAGTTCCATATTAAAGAGGGGAAACAACATTTTTAGCCAAGTGGCATTAGAACCCTTCCACATATAGAATCATTAAAGGGAGAAAGGATACATAAAAACATAAGAAATGAAGCGAACCATCTATTTACCAAATATTCTGTTTCATATAGTGGCTGCTATGCTTTCAGAAAGCTGACAAACCTGGATAAATGAGCTGAAACGATCACTCTGTAGAAAGTGGTAAAGTGGTATTTAAGAATAAACAGCCTACATCAGGAGTGTCGAACCGGCCGCCCGCAGGCCAGATATGTCATGTCCAAGCCACGCCCACCCCAGCTCTACAAAGGGGAAAAAACATTGTGATACGTCACATGATGGCAACATGTCACAGCGAGTTTGACACTTGTGGCCTACATTATTTCATTATTTGCTATTAATAGCTCATTCCTCCAAAAATATAAACAAACCGTTCTTAAAATTTTCTGAATTGGTAGACAGCACATTTGAAGGTAGTGATTTTCATAGAGTACATTGTACACTGTACAACTTAGTGTAACAATCTTTTCAAATACAAGTATGTATATCTCTCTCTCTCTCTCTCTCTCTCTCTCTCTCTCTCTCTCTCTCTCTCTCTCTCCTCTCTTTATCAGAATGTATCATTAATTGGTATGTGATAGAAAATGTATTTTTTTTGTCAGATTACATGTTGAATTTCCTCAACTTTGCCCATTCTATGTTTTTCTAATATACTGACTATAACTGATCATCCTTACCTAACATGTCCATGCAGACATTAGATTCTGTAATCTGAAATGTCTGGTGGGCACTTGATTTGGGAACCTTATTCTATCTTTATTGAGAGTTTTCTTGAAGAATGCTGAAATTACTTTCAATTTAAGTCAGTCCCTAAAAATGGTTATAAACAGATGCATAGTCACTACTCTCAGACCTTTTCTGTTTCAGTTAATATAATCTAATATGACTCCCAATTTTAAAAATACATTATTTGGGAAAATTTAGTATTCTTTCCTTCTAACTGTATTTGTGAGCACTATCAAATGAATAAAAGTTTTCCATAGCATTACCTAGTTATAAACATTTAGCAATCCAGGATATCTAGTTAGGATTATTCCCCATTTTTTCAAATAGAGGATTGAAATTCAGAAAGAATTTACAGCAGAGGGATGACTCAGATTGGAAGGTCATTCCTTTGGAGTTTAGGCTGGTGTTTTTCAACCTTGGCAACTTTAAGGTGTGTGGACTTCAACTCCCAGAATCCCCAACAATGGAAATTCTGGAAGCAAAGTCCACACATCTTGAAGTTGCCAAGGTTGGGAAACTCTGGCTTAGATACTCAGCACCATATAACATCAGTACCGGAGGTGGGTTCCTACCAGTTCGCACCAGTTTGGTAGAACCAGTTCGTCAAATCTACCGAACCGGTTAGCAGAGGTTCCACCAGAAAGCAGGCCACACCTACAGAAGAGGTTCCAAAAAATTTTGAAACCCACCACTGACACACACACACACACACACACACACACACAGACTCACACAGAGAGAGAAAGAGAAAGAAGGAAGAAAGAAAGAAAGAAAAAAAGAAAAAAGAAAGAAAAAGTGAGAGAGAGATGAAAGAAAAAAAGGAAAAAGGGACAGAGAGACAAGAGGAAGGAGAGAGAGAGAGAGAGAGAAAACACATGGCCGGCAAGCCACTCCTACCAGGTCACATGGCTGGCAAGACACTCCCACAAAGGAGGCCACACCCACAGAGTAGGTTCGAAAAATTTTTGAAACCCACCACTGATCAGTATCATGAAACAATTTTTACACCAAGCTTCAAGCTGCAGATGTAGCTGATGAAATTGTGTATACAAATGCTCTTTGATGTAAAAAAAACCCAAACACCGCATGAACGCATATTTGAATTACAGATATGTAGAGTAATAGTTGAGCAATATATATTATCTTACAATTATATATATGTAGCAGTCCCTGATCAAAGCAAAGCTTTCACCAAATACTGAGAGCAATACATATTGTTGGAACCCCATGTTCAGTGACTTCCACAGTTTGAATAAAGCTGCATGGAAAGCCCCATTCTACTCTCTGTCCTCTGTACTTCACTAAACTGCCAGGCATTGAACGTGATTTTTCATGATGACCTTAGAGAGTCATGTGGAAGTAGAGCATATTTTATGTCTAATATGCATCAACTGATGTCTGAAATCAGTTAATGCATAATAGACATAATAGACATTCTGAAATAGAATCCAGGAAGGACTACATAATATGCTCCTTTCACATATTTCAATTAGCGCTTAACCTTCTACTGTAGGCAGCCTCTTTAAAAAAAATGGGTTACTAAAGGCATGTAAATAACATCTGCATTAGATCTTCATTTCATTCATTTATTTGATAAACCAATTTATATAACCACCCATCTCACAAACAATGAGCCTGGGCTGAATACAACAGAACTAAAAATAGTATTTTATACAATCTTAATATTTAAGATACATGAGCATGTTTTATTTAGAAAGTTCCACATTTTACTGAAGAATGATGTTGATATAATGCTATATTTTTTCTAGGGAAAATCAGGAGAAAATGATTTATTTTCTACTCCTTGATCGGAAAGAGAGATATCCCAGTCATGAAGATGAGGATCTTCCTCCTAGAAATGAAATAGGTATATATATGTATTTTTTTAAAAAAAACCATATCTTCTCTTAAGTCCCTCTCTTTTGGCTGCCCTTATTGAGAGCAAAGTCACATCCCCATTCATTGTTGTTGACAAATGTGTAAAATTCTAGCTGATGAAAATGTTTATTTGCATTCAGAAAATCCAATGTATGAACAATAGCTGCTATAAGTTAGAAGAGCTTCTAAATGTACTTTAGTAGATTACTAACTCCTTAAGCATTTTGTACTTACCTAGTATTTTCCTAATCACTGAAATAAAAACATATTTAGATGAGAAGTTCATGATCACATGGAAATGCACTTAGAGCTTTGGATTGTACACACATACAGACAAACACTTGATGGAAATTATGGAAGTATATTTTCTGATTGATCCACCTGGCTTCTTAAACTGAATTGTTTTGTACAGCTATAATGTTATGTAACTTCGTGTTTTGCCATAAGGGAGCAGATCAATTTGTACCTAATATTTCAACTGATTGGATTTTCTCTTCAATGCAGGTATACCTCTGTTTTTAAGGTAGCAATTTCTCCAGCTTCTTCAATTTTGATGATACATCATGCTCCTTATTCATACATAATGCAAACTATATTCTATATTTCCTTATATAAGAAACAAAAACACACTCCTTAAATGTATTAGTTTTGTATTCAAGCTGGATATATCTGGATGATGTATCATCTGATTTTAGAATTCAAATACAGTATTATTCAAGGGATGCAGAGTGAATGAAGGCAGCTCTTTGCTCATTTGTCTTTAGAAATGTAGAGCAAGGTGGTGTGTGAGTGTGTGTGAGAGAGAGACAGAGAGAGAGAATTATCCATTCAATATCACTTCAGACAATCAATTGTTTTGAGATATTGTTTTCTTCAAAGATACATATAAGTGCTCTCTTTTCCAGGTGGCTATCAGCATATAAAGGAAAAAATATCAGAATATAGGTAGTAATCACTTAAGAAGGGTAACTGGGACTGACAATGTTGTTGCTAAGCGATGCAGTCTTAAACATGAATTTGTGTGACCACTCAAACAATGGCAGCTGTAGCAGTCCAGTTGTTGGCCTTAGACAAATGGCATGCAGTTGTAGCATCCCACAGCCACATTGTCATCATTTGCAAACTCTTGTCAGCTTTCTAATTGACTTTGCTTATTGAAAGTCAGCAAATGGTGACCATGTAACCATGGGGCATTGCAATAGATGCAATTAGAAGGACCCATCAAAAGTCCATCTCATTCAGTGCCATCATAAATTTGAACAGTCGCTGAACAGATGATCATTCAACAAAAGCTGTCTGCAATAGGTGCAAGATTCAGAATACTAGAAATCTATATTATATTATTCTCATTCTTTTAGGCTCCCTTCTTGTTTTTCATTGTCTGCAATCTGCATCTTGTGATGAAGTATTGACCGAGATCCTATAATGGGATCATAATGTCACAGATCTGCAATGCCTGCAGATATCTACTTATTATTACTATTTGCAGTTTTCTAGGGTAAAGCATCAAATGTCTATTCTTTTTAAAAGTTTTAGTGCATGGTCAGCAACAATAATACTTTGTAAAGAAAACATAAGCATAAGATATAAAATGTAGCATTAAAAAAGAAAACTAGAATGTAAAGATAAACTCTGTAGAGAAACAACTCAAAAGTTCTTGTTTGGACCTATGATTTCCTTTTTGCATTATCTAAGCTCTATTTTTTGGTGGTATATGTATGTTATGAGGTAAGCTACTTTTTAAAAAAATGCTTTAGGTATATGATGGAATGACAACAGTAAAAATGACCATGTATGAGATGCAGAGATGTGGCAAGAGTTTAAATAGTTTTGGTTTCTATCAGAGGGTCCTCATCCCCTCTATTGAATTTAGAAAATAAACAGAAGGGACATTGAGTTTTACCATTCCAAGAAATTTGAGTCATTTCATAACCTTGCTAAGTTGACTGCATTATCTCTGCATAAAGACCCTCCCAGAAAACGTGTGGACTCTCCAATGCTGAACAGACATGGCAAGCGGAGACCAGAGAGGAAGTCCATGGAGGTTCTAAGTGTGACAGATGGAGGATCCCCGGTTCCTGCCCGCAGAGCAATTGAAATGGCACAGCATGGACAGAGGTAGGTGGTCCCAATAGCAAACAAGAAGAAAATTGTACATGCCATTGAGAAACCACAAGAGCTGGTATAGTGGCTCAGTCATTTTTATCAGCATCAGTCTAGGTTTTTTTGCAAGAAACATAAATTAATCACAGAAAGCCTCTTTGCTTGTTATTGTGTCCTCTTTCTTAATCTTTTGTTTCTAACAAGCATTCAGACCATTGCTAGGGAGCAATTTATAACAGAAACCATGTAAAGGTTTCATAGGCTAGGTAAACACCAACAAAATGGAAATGCTGTGTATTCATAATTCTGATCCCTTTTATGGTACAATGGGCTATAAAAGGACTACGGTTAGGGTTTTTTACCCTCTAATGAAATATACTAGCCACATTGTTGAACTAAAATCAAATGGCAAAGAAATAGTTCATAAAAGTTATATATTCAGATTTATGTTGTGTTTTGACTAGGATCACATTGCAGAAATAAAAAAAATATCATATGGATATGCTACATAGAAATGTTTTAAGAGACTCTATTTTTAAATATTTTTCAACACCCATCTTTTGGTTCTTTGCAGCATGAATTCATGGTCTCAAATATTATCTTTATGCAGGAAGAATGTTATTATCTAGAAACTTACTTCAGCCACTATAGAAAAAGCACGATTGCTTTAACAATTCCCAGAAATTCTGTACTATTCAGTTCCCTAAGGTTTTTCCTAGTTGGATTCCTTGCTAATTATTGTTATTTTAATTCTAATGTACAACAAATGGATATCAAAAAAGGAAAACATATCATTTTCTTGCAGAAAATGTCATGATGCATGTAGACCACTTCTGCCACAATAGGTTAAGTTAAAATGCTGAGCTATTATTCAGTTTGCAATCATTGACATCTTGCCTTAGTTCCAGACCATCCTGGGCATGGAAGATTTGACATATCCCCAAATAATCTAGTATTAGCATGCAAGGTTTCAGAATTTAAATACCACCAATTTGTAGTTTCTACATTACCATCCTCTGTATGTGAATTGGATATTTAAGATAGATCAAGATAGGAGTAACCAACCAAGAAGGGAAATCTGGGAAGAATATTTTTGCCATATTCTAAGATTATCTTACGTTTGTCATGTTATATTGGGTTGTTTGTATGGTACCAGTGACTTTAACATTTTCATTTGTTCAAATGTCACATTACAAAGTTGCATATTTTACTAACCTCAACCTTTTTTAACAAAATTATTTTTCTTTATATATAGTTATTTTAATAGTGAAAAGCATTATAGCTGAAATCTGTGGATTTCCTCTGAGTTAGTGAGATCTTTTCTAAAGTAATGTTTTCTGAAACACTACATAAAATGACATCACAGTAAAATATAGTCCGGGTTTTATGATATAACAACTAGTAAGAGCTGCGATAAATGTGGGAAAAATAGGTAGGCAAAGCAGAAAATATAAAAAAATGAATTCATAATTTCATGGTGCTGTTGCACGGTGTTCTGTGCCTTTGTGCATTCCTTATGCCACTTCATCCTCAAGTAACAAACACAACAGTGTGTTCATTCATACTGAGTATAAGTTTGTTCGTTAACACAAAGTCCACCAAATGAGAAAAGAAACATATGGACGTAGAGTCTACTATGAATTTTCATGTAACCTGTGGAAATCATTTTGAAGAGGATAGTGCTACCTGGAAGAGCATTACTTTCAGTGAATAGCTATGCTACCATTTCCCCAAACAATTTAGACACTGTAATACTGTGATCAACGACCAGAGAGGGGGAGATCTCAAGATGAGAATTTTCATGATCCTTACAAAACCATTACATGTAGGATTTACTGTTGGAAACCACACCAGTTAAAGTGACTGAAATGCAATGTGGTCTATTCCTGGTATGTATCAGTAGGTTGTTGCATAAGTAAATTGAAGAACATGAGGGGAACATCCCCCTCTCCTACTAAATGAATATGCCCTTACAAAATCAATGGGGACATTTCATTAATAAATTCACTTTCAGCACCATTTTCATATCTTTTAAGAAGTTTCTTTGGAGTGTGCATTCATAGGTCACAGTGAAACTGGACAATTATTAATGGCCTCTGCAAACTGATTAAGCCTTGCTTAGAAGTAGTTGTGGATACGTAGCTACGGTATTTATTTTTGTGAAAAGCATGCCAAAAAATAAGCCTAAAGCTGCCTACCAGCATAATTTTGTCTCCAATTTGCTCGTGTCCATCTCTGCTTAAAATACGTTACCATACATTGTCTTCCTGAGATGTATTAAATCAAGTATATGTTGGTTTCAGCAGTTGCCATTCCAAATGTCCTGTGAAGAGAAAATATAAGTTTATATCTACTTTCAAAACCTCGTATTATCTGATAGTTCATACATTCCATGCCTCTTCCCTTTCTGTTCATGATACCCAGGAAGATTTGCCTATGAAAAAGATGAATGCCTTGAAATCAACTTGGTTTTTGATTTCCCCCCCCCCCCCAATAATCTCGCTTCCTCTAGTTGCTGTTTTACTTATTGTAAATTTCGTTTCTTTTTATTCCTTCTCTTGTGAAGACTTTGGTACTTTCGGTTGTTCTTGTTCCATAATCTAAACTCAGCTTTTCATTTTCCCCATGGTACATTAATACCATTGCAGCTGCTATTTTCATGGTACATTTTCCTGTCACGGAATTTTTTTTCAGCCCAAAGATTGCTGTCAAAGGCTCAAGGCTTTGTGTTAGATCAAACAAAACACTCTAGAGCTGAGGTACATTATGAACTGAAAGGAAAAAAAGAAGTGCTTCCATCAACAAACTGACATCCTTTTCTTCCTTCTTTACACTGATTACTGAAAAGACAGCTACCTGACACTAGGATCTGTTCTTCTCCATCTGACCCACCTGTAGGCTTCACGCCTGACATTTATTTATTTATTTATTTATTGAGGGCTTGGAATATTTATGGCTTTTCTTTGCAGATTAATGGGAGCAAGTGAAAGGATTAGCAGGAACAAGTTATGTACTTCGGAGGCTACTTTGAGTGGCCGAGCTGGATTTGCATTCTTTAGATCTTGTTCAACATAGTAGCTTCCTTGAAAATTGGCATATCTCACCACCATGTCTCTGACAAGTATAATTCAGGTTTGAGCCAGCACTTAGGTGGTAACTGATGTTTGGAGAGGCCAAGTGCAAGAATGGTTTGTATGCAGTGACCCTTATCTCACATCTCATATCAACAAGATTACTAGAATTTTAGTTTACTCCTTCACTGGAAAAATTCAGCCTCCCCAGTAACTCAGATGCTACACCCTTCTATGCAAGGAGCTCTTAAAACCTTCCAGTATCAGCACAGAACTGGGAAAGCAATGTAGCTCTCCATTTCAGATATATTTTTGGAAGGGAAGGGGGTAACTTTGGGTGGGTGGAACTGCGTCAGGTGAACCTCATATGAATGTCCACATCAGTAACTCTTTTTTCTCACTTTGTTCCTGCCATAGTAAAACAATGTTCAGTAAAAGCCTGGATATCTGTGAAGCCAATCCCACATTCAGCAAAGAAGACAGGTATAAAACACCAACAATCTGTTCCTCTCCTTTATCTCACTTCTATTCTTAAAGATGCAGTACTTCCCTTTTCTGCTGGGGATACATTTGATTTCATTCTTTGGAAAGAAATAACTCAAGCCAGTGATTAATTCACCTTCACACTATAGCATATATTTTGACCTAACAGTCTCTGTATGGTTTATGTCTACGCTGTAAGATTCCAAGATCAAACAAAACAGGCTACAGCTGAGGTACATTATGAACTGAAATGGGAAAAATTGCTTCCAGCAACAAATAACAAGCAAAAAGAGAATAGGGAATCAGAAGAGGTAGTTCTTGTTTAGCAACTGCCTTATACAGTGACCATTTACAGTTACACAAAAAAGTAACGTTGGGACCAATCCTCACATTTATGGCCTCTGCAGATCTGTAAATCAAAGGAAAGTTAAGTACAATCATAGTTTCAATTAGCAACCACTTCATTTAATGACTGAGTTGCTGATCCCAGTTTGGACAAAATGAGCCTGGGAGCCCAGCTTCCTCCATTCCACTAAGCTCCTTTGATCCTTCTGCTACTGCCCTTCTTCCATGCATATTGACAATTAAAGTCAAATTTGACCCTAGTGAACAATTTAACCAACCTCAAATAAGTTTCATTTGACTCTTATGTCTGGGATACAGAGAATATGTTAGCTTATCTCCTTGATGTTTAAGAATAAGCTTTGAACTATGAAGATCAAGCTTTCTGTCAGATAATGATGGTTAATTGGTTCTTTTCTTTCACAGTTTTAGTCTGGGGTCACTCCACATTTTGCTGTTTCAAAGAGGCAGAAATTCTTAATTGGAAAACAGACTTAATAATATATTAACAGGCAGAATTTCAACAAATATATGACATCTTGTAGCAACCCATTTTTTCCTCTCGACTGCTGAAGATTTCATTGTAATTTTTAAAATTGTTGATATTTTTAGGGTCTTTCAATTATGTTAAGGAACTCTTCCATCATTAATATTTTAAAAACTATGCGTACATTTAGCCAGATAGGGGAGCCAATTAACATGCCCTTAAAATCATGCTGAGTTTAACCGATCATCTCAACAACTTTTTCTATAGTCTGAGAAAGTTCTAAGTCAGCCTCAGCTGCTTCAGGAGTGATACTGGCGTTCAGTCCTGTGTTGCAATTAAAGCTTCTGACCTAGAAGCTCTTAACTTTACTCTGTGCAGCATCAATTTACCTGCACAGGGAGAAAGAGAAAATATTTCCATCATGCTCATAGGCTAATGCAGCCAATAGGCAATTTAGAGGAAAAAGCAACAGCAGAAATACCATCACCAACAGGTATTGTAGGCTTCTTTAAAACCTTTAAATGACCTCACAATGGGGTGTGGGTTTTTTGTTGTAATGTTTACAGCTGACCTGAGAATTATATTAGCATTTTTATTTTATATTGAGATTGGAAATCATGATTTGAGTACATTGTAGGAGCAAGATATGGAGACATTTTGTCGCAATGCTATACTAAATCTAATGTTGAAAATAGTCCCCTGAAGTGAACTTGTGCAAATCCCAGTTCACTGTAAGTTCACTCTGAAATGCTTTATAAGATCATTCCATTAACTTCCTGAAAGTTAGAACAGCTTCCCATTTTAAAGTAGTGGAGAGAGGAATTTTGCCTCTCAGCAGATGGGATGGTCTGGCAACAAGCAAGGCACTCTGTTTTATGAGGAAAGGAGGGTTGTTGCCAAGATCTCATAAACTGCTCATAAGCTGGGGAGAAATAATGAGCTGCTGTTTGATGTGATATTCATCAGAGAATTCCTAAGCATTGTTGCAAGAGCCAGATACTTGATGCAAATTTCAGCCTGGAGTGACTGTAATACAATAGGATTTAGAAAACCTATCTATATGCTCAGAGTTCTTGCCAGGCAGATCACATTTTTAACCCACCACCCTTGTGGTTATTCCCCCCACACACACACACATTTTCCTCTTGCTGTAAAATCCTTTGTTGTAGTAACCAGTAAAAACCCTTTTCATGAATAGTCCTTTTTCTCAGAAAGGCTCTAATATTAGCACATTCACCACTACCCTAAAATGGATCCTCATCAATGATAAGCACTGAAAAGCATCCAGGACCATTTTCTTGTAAGCACTGGGTCCCAACTAGTGGAGAGAGGGCCTACTTTATAAGGATCGATAATATATCTTAAAATAGGCTACATAGTTTTCTCAATAACACATGAAAAGAAAAAGGCTAAAAAGTAAGCATCCTTTTTAAATACAGAAATATGGAAAAGGATTGATGATCTTCACGTTTATCTTGAAGTCTGCAGACTTTGTAGACACATAGATGCAGTTTTCTTGGCTACAAAAACAGAGGTGGTTTGCCGTAATCTCATTTATCAATTTCCTTGGCTGGATTGAAATTTTGGGATTTCTATTAGTTTTCTACCCAAGTACTACCCAACCAGTTACCTTCCGAGCCCTGATCAGATCAATAAGGTGCTGGAACTTACTGAAAACCATAAGAACAAAGCAAGCATTTTTTTAATGTGTACCTTAATGAAAGGGTTGTTAAGGGAACAACCACAAAAAAAGTAAGGTAAGGAATTAGACCTAATAAAATTAATGAAAGAAAGAAACCCCACTGAAATATTATCTCCTTGGGTTACTGAATCAGAACCTTGAAATGGTACCTGCTCAGTGTCTTATTTTTTCTCTCCCTTTTGATTCATTTTTAAGAGGAATGCTGCATCTTTAAGAATCCTAACTTCCTAGATGCACACAATTGTTTTGACAGCTAAGGCCACTTTTCTTTCTGCCCTCTTTTATCCCTATTTCTTCTCTCATTTTTGTATTTTTTTTCCCTTTTACTTTCATCATTGCATTATTTTCGGTGTCATTCTCTTGTTTTTGTTTCTCCCTCTTAACCTTGCATTATTTTTTTCTTCATTTTGTATTTTTTTCTCTCTCTCTCAATTTTAAGTTTCCTTCCTTCCTTCTGGATCTTTTAGTGCTGCTTCTATATCTGGGTTGCTGTGGCTCAGTAGTTCACATGCTTTCATTCTTTAGGAAATGCACATATCTGCGCTGCTAGGTTTATTGTTTTGGGGAATTATTTTTATTTAAATAAAACTCATTTTGCTTCTTTCTATCCCTCATTGTCAATTTGATGTCCATTTGCATTGTTAAAGCACTTCCTGACTTTCTCTTTCTGGAAAACCTATTAAGATTCTTTTAAGCATTTGTATGTCCATGTTAACTATCTGAATATATCTATTTACTTTCCCTGCATTGCTTATTCCTGCATATGTAGAGCCATATGGTCATCGGTCTATTTCTAGAGAATATAATAATTTACTTGGAACATTAGATGATAATGCTTCAATGCTATGAGCTATAAGTAGTTTTGTAGCAGAATGCTTAGAACTTGAAATGATGCATTTTGGGTTAAAAATGTAAAATGCAGTGTTATATGACCATTGGCAGTAATAGTCAAATAAGTATGACTTAATAAGAAACTGAACTATAGAATTTAAAAAGATTAGTCCCACCTCAAATAAATATCTGCAGGTTTTCAGAAGAGTAGAATATATAACATTGGAGCTTTTCATCTATTTGATTGGTGAGTAAGACATTATTTTAAATATGGTACCCATGCAAAATAATATTCACTGTAGATTCAAATGAATATGGAACTAGAAGTGCACACTCCAGAATATGTTTTTACCTCCCTAAATCATGCCCCCATATTTCCAGGGTAATGTATTAATGGTGTATCATTATGTCTAATCTTATTGTTTATTTGCACATACAAGCAAAGCCACCAGATGTGCAGGCCACAATTTTTGAGTATAATATGATCTCATCATAAGCTGGAAAACATAAAATCAACAGTAATAATAATATCTGGGGCCTATGAACTGTATTTCTAACATTGATAGATGCTTTTTTACAACATCAAATTGCAAAAAGTCAAGGTATCTATTTTCAGAAACTCCAGTTCTAGGGAAATATTCCATTAGCTCATGTGGCTCTTGAACCAGAGACAACCTGTGGGGAAAGCTGCTTCAAAATTATTATATCCTATATATTCAAGCTTAGAGAGGAATGAAGGAATCACAGTGCCAGGAAAAGTGGACAGTTCTAAGCTAAACTTAGGAAAGTGGTATGAACTGATAATTCTGTAATTTGGTGCTATTTATCGAACTTACTAGCATGTAAAAACTCATGAATAATGTATTCTGAAAAATAATATTTTTCAAAAAAAGAATTTGTGCCCTCCATGGACTGCACTTGACCATATGTTAGGAATCATATGCCAGGAAAATGGTCACTAATAGGAGGCAAGACTGAGAAATAATAATACAAGGCAAAAGGAGTGGGGGGAGGACATAATTTAATTGAAATTGAAATTAAATCCAGTTATGCAGGTGTAACTTTATTATGGTTTATGACCCATCACATTTGGTAAAAAGACAGAGAGCAGCATAAAAGAAATTAAAACTCTAATATTATGACAATATTTTCCCACATAAAGTACTGGTGCCTGTAAGAAATTTTGCAACTCCCCTGAAGAGGTTAAAGCTCCAGAGTCATTTAGAGTTGAATGGTATTAAAAGATGGATGGATGGATGGATGGATGGATGGATGGATGGATGGATGCATGGATGGAATTAAGTTAATAAAATCATCCCCTGAATAGATGAAATTTCTATTATATGGAGTCATCAGATTAGAGCACAGATCCTATAGAAAAGACCTTAAAGAACATGTTCCTTCAAATCACAGGAGCACATCGTTCTGCCAAAGGGATATTATTGTGGCAGGCAAAATATTAAAGCAGGCAAAATATAAAGTTTAAAGTGTATTAGATAGATAATCTGAATTGGTAATTGGCTGGCTTGGTTCCTACTTATCTGACCAATATGGGTGACTTAGACTGGCCTGAAGGGCTACACTTGCTGTTAAATTGCAGCTCTAGGTTTCAATAGCCCCATGGCCAAAAAATTAAGT